TGGCAATTATCCCATTCAAATACACCATGATACAAGTAATCAGGATCAGTCACATTTCCTAGATGAATATCTCTTTCGCCCGAATTTATAGCAGATGAAGTAAAGCGTAAAAGCCGTCTCCATCCAGGTGCTATATAATATACAAACTATTATTAATTAATGTGTGAATTTTTATAAAAAAATAAGGTTAACAGTCTCACCTCCAATACATTGACCACGACCCTCATGCATTACACAACTATTTTCACCGTAATACCTATAAGCTACACGAGTTTGATCCAATAAATTTTTACGAACACTGACTAAATCAGATGATTTAGAAGTGTGATTTCCAAAACGATATTTTTTTGCTATTTCTTCAGTAAAAGGAATTCTATGCCACGTTATTGTCACTATAAATATTTTAAAAATTATTTAATCAATCAGTCAATAAGATAATTAATAATATAAAATTTCTTACCATTAACAGAACCAACGTTTTGATTCAATGCATCAACACAAGAAATTGCAGGATATTCACTAAAGTGACAACGAATCTCATTTGGATCATATACTGGTTGCTAATCATGAAAAGTACGCTTAATGTTAACCACGAAATTACTTAATCATAAATTTGTAAATTTGTAAAAAAATGGTAAAATTACCGGTGGTTCAGCTTTACAGGTATCATCGTAATATGCCCATACATTTTCACTTTCAACAGTATGTTTTGGAAATGAACTTTCATCAATACATGCGTACCCAGTTCTTTGCAAGAGAAATTCAGGTTCCACAGGTAATATCCAATGATCTACAATTTATTACTTAGATTTGATTCATTATACATATAATAAATTTGATAGTTTAAATACTCACCCGACCATTTTCCATCAATTACATCCAAAGCTGGTTCAGACCTATTAATAGTTTTAGCATCGGTAACCAAGACAGAATAAAAATCGACATCCACAGCAATGTAATCATGAACACCAATTTTCGTTCTATGTGCTTTGCTAAAGGTAAAATCCCAAACTTCTTCTGGAGGTAATGTTAATTGTTTCTTATCAGAATAATAAAAAGTACGGAAAGCTTGTCGATATTCAGTAAATATTGTTTGCATATGTGCCTTTTTGATCCAAAAATCATTATTTTGCCTCAAATAGTAATTTGCTACTTTTTCGCGCATTCCAAAATTTTCTGAAAAATCATCTAATAAGACTCCAATTGTACTTTTGAAACTCGTCTCTATTAATGCACCTTCTACCTCCCGATTAATATTTTTACTATCAAGTGCAAATATTT